CAGTTTCTCCAGTTTACAGTGAGGATCCTGTAGTACATCAGAAAGCAGCTTCACTGAATCTCCTAATTTATTCTCAGACAGATCCAGTTGTCTCAGGTGTGAGGGGTTTGATCTCAGAGCTGAAGCCAGAGCAGCACAACCTTCATCTGTGACGCCACAATATCTCAACCTGTAGAGAGATGAAAATCATTCATGTGAAACTCTATCAAAAAAAACAATAAAAAAACAATCAAACAACTTGCTGCAATGAACAACAACTTTCAATTCAAATATTGTTAAATTAATTCAAACCATTAGAAAAAATGGCACATGCATTAATGTCAAATGGGCAAATTTAGACAAAAAATTAAGACTGGATTAAATCAACATTTATCTATTAATTGAGTAAAAGTGTAATTGTACTGTAATTGAGTAAAAATGAAAACTATGTAATTCATCTTTTAACAAACTTTTAACTGGTTGAACATGATTAAAACTAATCCTCAAGCTGGACTGTGAACTGGCAGATAGTTCATGTGTTTTAATGTAAGTCTGAGTCTCGCTCTTGTCATTCCAGATGCCTAAAAAACATCAGAAGCAGAAAGAGCTTGCCTGCCAAGTATGTTTGCACATACAAGGAATTTGTTATAATGTCACAAGCTTCCAGTACACAGAGACAACAACAACACACAGATAATAAAATAAGATGTGAATAAAATACACATGCATAAATATAAACCACAAAAAAAGAATAAATTGTATGTACAGGTGTGCATTTAATTGTTGTCTTCAAAAGTGTGTGTTCAGGTATGCTGCTGTTTTGCTCCATTAACTGATTCATCAGATTTGAGGAGATTTGAGCTGCTGTATATATGAGCTGCTTCTCCACTTGTTTGGTTGCTCTCGATTTCTGCTTGCTCTTTTATGCCAGATGAGAAATATTTAAATTCCTTCTTTATGTTCATTTTTACATTTTTAACTGGAAAACCTGAATTATTTATATGCAACTTCTCTGACTTTGTTTGAATGCCTGAAGAAATCTTTTACAGTGTCTCTGTATTGAAAACACATCAAAATGCCGACCACTAAAATGCTAGCTACAGCACTGAAGATTTATGAGCTTTTAACTTTGATTTTCTTAATGTTTTAACAGTGAAGTGATTGCATTTGATGGCTGTGTCCTCTGTTGCTGCTCTCCTGGATTGTGTCTCAATCTGTCTCACCTCATGCTCATTACTGATCTCTCCACTCTCACTCTCTGTGATGTAGAGCTCTGTGTAGATCTCATTCAGGAGTGTTGGGTTTCCCTGCGTCGCTGTTCCCTCATACAGACGCTCAAACTTCTTCATCAGATTTGATCTAAACATGATGAGGACTTCATGGCTGGAAAATTAAAATACTACATTATTACATGAGTTACAGAGGTAAATGTACAGAGCAAAATGTCTTTTTTGTTTTCTGTGTTATGAGTCACTGAACATATCATAGGGTTTATGAAATGTGCCAGTTATTAATGATGTATTTGAGTAATGTGTGATGATGCACTGCATTAAATCCCACAGTTTACCTCACACCAGGATACGTGCTGTCTTGTGGTTGATTCATAGACTGGTCATATTTCTCACAGACGGGTTTTGTTTCTGATCTGGATGGCAGGACTGACCTTGAATCAAGAATCAAACACTCTGACATTGGTGACATTTTCTCATGACCTTAATAACTATTGTGACTTTATTAAAAATGCACTTGCTCAAGGTCAAAACTGTAAAAAATAAATACTGTTTAAATGTAAATAAATAAATAATTCTACACTGTGCTCTATATCTGATTAGTTTAAAATATCTTACTATAACCATATATTTTACTAATAATGTAATACTTGAGGTTAAACCTTGTGTCTTCACTCTTAAAATTAACTGGATGATGCAAAGAAGCGTCACTTTTCATAGACAGACAGCTGGGCTCTGGTTCTGATTTCTTCTGGTGAACTGAACTATAACAGAGAGAGATTAAAGGTACACTAAGTACTTTCATAGATGTGTCTCTGTGTGAGCAAATGTTACAATATCAGATGAAATAATCACATGATAAAACACCATAACAAATATTTCAATTATGTTTGTTAATGAAATATTGTACCTGAGATTGTGTGGATGATCTATAGACTCGTCACTTTTCATAAACACACAGCTGGGCTCTGGTTCTGATCTCTTCTGATGAACTGAACTATAACAAAGAATCCTTTGAATTACTGTATTAATATTAACTTTACATTTTTACTATGTTGATACAGAAACCATAAACTAAATTTATTTAATAGACTCTCTGCCATAACTAATATGAATACAAAAATTAGTTGTGATTGTTGTGAATATTTAGATCTGTTGACTTTGTTCATACATTATTTCACTCATTTAAAAACATCATGGTCTCCTGTTGTGGGAAAATACTCACAAAAGTTGATGTATTTCACATATTTCCAATATTTATAGGGGACCTATATGTTTAAAAAGTTGTTGTTAAGCGTTAGCTTATTATGTTTATGTTGAAAAGTTATAAATGTATATTTTTTCATAATCTGCCTGTAAATGTTTGTATCTCAGTGGATACGCTGCCCTTTTAGGGGTATAAATCAAGATTGTTTTTCATATAGACTCTGTGGCCTATAGACTTTTTAGACTTTCAGAAAATCAGTTCAATACTTCAAACTCTTAAATGATAATTGAATGTCAATCATTTAATCATTAACTAGTTAGCAATACTGAATTTAGTTCCCTTTCAAGGGAACTTCGAACCGTGTCCTCTAGCGGTCGCTATGGGGAATGCCTCGACGTGACCTGTGTCTGAAGCATACATTCAAAAAACACCAACAACATGTTGGCCGGCGACAGCCCATGACGTCACTACCAGTGCGACTATAGTATAAATAGACGCCGGGAGAACACGTCATTCTCTTCTTCGTATTCATTGACTGTTTTGTTTGAAGCGTGCAGTGGTAAGAAAGAACGATTTTTCTTCCTTCATTATGGCGAGCACTAGCAAGACGTTTAGAAGATGTGTGCATCCGTGTCGTCGTTATTTGACTCCTGATGACACACATGATCTTTGCGTCTTTCGTTTGGGCGAAGAGCACGCACGCGATGTCCTCGAGGGGGTAATCTGCGTTAACCGCGAGTGTTTTTCGATGAAAACGCTCCGCTCTCATTTGTCTCTCTTTTCAAGGAGAGAGGGGCAGCAGTCTGCTCCCCCCGGTTCAGGACCCGCCGCTGCTGAGGCACGGAGGAGAATGAGCTTGTGGGGATCGCAGGCGGATCTGGCCGATGAGTTTAAAGAGGGGCTTTCTCTCTCGCGCTCGTCGGCTGTGGACGAGAGTGAGCCGCTGGAGGATGATGTTATTCCCCTAACATCGTCTGATCCAGGGGCGAGTGCTCTGCTGGGTTCGGCCCAGGAAGAGCAGGAGATGTCTGAGGAGGGCGAGGTGGCTGAGCCCTCCCAATCCTCCTGCCCTGCGTATAATGAGCTATTGGAGGTTATGGATCGCGCCACGGCAAGGCTTGACTTGCCGTGGAAGCGGGCCAAGAAAGTGACGTCGCGAGGTCGTCTCGATGAGCGTTATCATTCTGACCATAGCCCTCCAGCTCAGGTGAGCCTTCCTTTTCTTCCTGATCTCCATACAGAGATCGAGAAAGAATGGAAGAGGCCATTTTCCTCACGCATCCATCGCTTCCAGCATAGAGGGGATGCGCGAAAGCGGCTATGAGAAGATGCCTCCTGTAGAAGAGACGCTGGCTAGCTATCTCTCTATGGGTGAGACATCCTCTCTTAAGACTCCCTCCTTGCCATCTAAGCCTCTTCAGGATACATCTCGCTTAAATGGCAGGGCATACGCAGCAGC